CCATTTTGTTCTATTGATCTATATTTCTGTCTTTGTGCCAGTACCATGCTGTCTTGATGACTGTAGCTTTGTAGTATAGTCTGAAGTCAGGCAGGTTGATTCCTCCAGTTCCATTCTTCTTTCTCAAGATTGCTTTGGCTATTTGAGGTTTTTTGTATTTCCATACAAATTGTGAATTTATTTGTTCTAGCTCTGTGAAAAATACTATTGGTAGCTTGATAGGGATTGTATTGAATCTATAGCTTGCTTTGAATAGTATACTCATTTTCACTATATTGATTCTTCTGATCCATGAACATGGTATATTTCTCCATATATTTGTGTCATCTTTGATTTCTTTCACCAGTGTTTTATAGTTTTTTTGTATATAGGTCTTTTGTTTCTTTAGGTAGATTTATTCCTAAGTATTTTATTCTTTTCATTGCAATGGTGAATGGAATTGTTTCCTTAATTTCTCTTTCTGTTTTCTCATTGTTAGTATATAGGAATGCAAGAGATTTCTGTGTATTAATTTTATATCCTGCAACTTTACTGTATTCATTGATTAGCTCTAGTAATTTTCTGGTGCTGTCTTTAGGGTTTCCTATGTAGAGAATCATGAGATGATTCTTATGGTGGAAAGTGAAGAGGAACTAAAGGGCTTCTTGATGAAGGTGAAAGAGAAGAGTGAAAAAACTGCCTTGAAACTCAACATTAAAAACACTAATATCATAGCATCTGGTCCCATCACTTCATGGCAAATAGAAGGGGAGAAAGTGGAGAAATAGTGACAGATTTTGTTTTCTTGGGGTCCAAAATCACTGTGGATTACTGCAGCTATGAAATTGGAAGATGCTTGTTCTTTGGAAGGAAAACTATAACAAACCTAGGCAGACTATTAAAAAGCAGAGACATCACTTTCACAAGAAAGGTCGGTATAGTCAAAGCTATGGTTTTTCCAGTAGTCATGTATGGATGTGAGAGTTGGACCATAAAGAAGGCTGAGTGCCAAAGAATTGATGCTTTTGAACTGTGGTGCTGGAGAAGACCTTGAGAGTCCCTTCGACAGATAGGAGATCAAAAAAGTCAATCTTAAAGGGAATCAACCCTGAATATTCATGGGAAGGACTGATGCTGAAGCTGAAGCTCCAACCCTTTGGCCACCTGACACAAAGAGCTGACTCCTTGTAAAAGACCTTGATGCTGGGAAAGATTGAGGGTGGTAGGAGAAGGGGGCGACAGAAGATGGGATGATTGGATAGCATCACCAACTCAATGGACATGAGTTTGAGCAGACTCTAGGAGATAGTGAAGGACAGGGGAGCCTGGTATGCTGCAGACCATGGGGTTGAAAGGAGTTGGACATGACTTAGTGACTAAACAACAGCAAAAGCTGAATTAGCATTTCCTTTATTTCAAGTGAGATAGCCTACTTTTCCCTATGCTAAAAAGCTATTTGTATTTCCCTTTCTGTGATCTATCTGGTAACATTTTCAACCCATTTTTCTATTGTTTTGTTTTCTTCTTATTGATTCTGGGATATCTTTATATATTAGGAAAATGAGCTCTTTGTCAGTGACAAGAATTGCAAGTATTTTCCAGATTAGTATCACTTTCATGTAGCCAAAATTAGCAACTCTTCACTGGTTTCTATATTTGAGTCATATTTAAAAAGACCTTCACTGTGTTTTAAGACTTTTTCTCTCTTCAGTTACATTTAATTCTTTGATCCACATGAAATTTACTTTGGTATAATTTGTGAGATCTTTTAACTTAAATTTGTTGCAGTATCAGATGATTACTTTGCTGTTGATATGCCCACTGTCATGAATTTAGTTACCATATAATTGATGTTTATAGAGCTAACAATGTCTTTTAGAAGGAAAAATCTTGAATCTAGTAAGAACTAAATCAGTGTGCCCTTGAAGGTTACGAAATATTGAAAGCACTACCTAGTAGATTGCAAACCACATAAACATTGTTTTCCATTATATCCTTAAAAATATCTTTACATTATGGTGGGAAAAATGTATTTGCATAATTTGAGGTTGAACTTAACTGTACTTCTCAAAATAAATATTTCTTGCAAAAGACTCAGTGTTTAACATATTGGATAAAGTAATTCTAAGTGATGTATCTAGGATGCTTTCCATGTGAAAGAGGTCATTTTGTAAGCCAGATCACACAGAAAGTTTCAGCAACTTTCAACTTTGCCTAAATGGGGCCATTGAAAGGGTACCACCATGGAAAGATAGTAAATTTCAATATACAGATTTCAGGGCCAAAGACAGAAGAAACTTTGTTAATGTTCTCTATCATTTTGCAAAGTTTCACTGAGCAAAATTAAGGAATTTGAAGTAAAAATGGATAATTCAATTAAGTAAAACATTTTGGATTTGTGTCTACCCGAGTGACCTTGGTTGGGGTTTGCTGTCTTTGTTCTGGTGTAGTGCCAGCTAAAGAAGGTCACTGCTGCCTCCTAGGTCTACAAGAATTGAGTCATTAGCCACAGCAGTTGTTGACCTTCAACACACCCTGAAAGGAATTCAGGACAGAGATCAGGAATGAGGTACTCTGTATCTGGGAAAACCGGCAGAACTGGCCTTCAAAAAGTTACATATTTTCATGAGAAATGGTTCATGAACCTGGTTTCTTGCATCTTCCCATATTTAGGAAAGACAGGGAGGCCTGGTTTGCTGCAGTCCATGGGGTTGCAAAGCGTCGACCCGACTGAGAGGCTGAACAGGAGCAACAAAGATATCTGTTACTTGTGACGAGCAGGAACCTGTTAGATGTGTGCTTGAGTGCATGTCCCCGCTTCTCCAACATCACACATACGCTGACTCTTACCCTTACCTCTGTGGAACAGTTTCTCTGAGCTCTCTGAGAGCCTGTCTCCTAGGCTGTAGTAGGCTAGTGAGACACTGAATAGACTCAATGTACAGCTCTTAACATTGTGCATTTTATGTTTGCTTGTTGTTCAAGTCAACGTAGGACTGAAGTAGAACTCATATTGTGAATAAGTTTAAGCTTTCATTGAAACTTTAGTTTAACCATTTTAAGTTGCTTTAGAGATCACCTCCAGCCAATCTTTTCATTTTGCTGATTAAAAATCAAGCATGGGGACTTCCCTGGACTCTGTGCTTCAAATGCAGCAGTCGTGGGTTTGATCCCTGGTCAGGGAAATAAGATTCCAAGTGGCACAGTCAAATGAAAAAAAAAAAAAAGAAATCAAGGATCAATAAGATCAGATAACAGGTCTACAGACTTCATATTACTAGCTATTAGGCTTAAAACAAAGTATGTATGGATTTATTTGTTGTTGTTTTAGTTGCAAAGTCATGTCTGACTGTTTTGCGATCCCATGGACTATAGCCCACCAGGTTCCTCTGTCCATGGAATTCTCCAGTCAAGAATAATGGAGTAGGTTGTCATTTCCTCCTCCAAAAGGATCTTCCCAACCCAAAGATTGAACCCGCGTCACCCTCATTGGCACATGGATTCTTTACCACTGAGACACCAGGGCAGCCCATTGGTTTATAGGAATGTATAAAAATACAGCAAAAGGGAGAGAAAATAAAAATCCTGCAACCTGGTGGACAACATCACGGGCCAGCAGCTGATGGAGGCCCAGGCCTGCACTGGGGCATCATCGACCTCAGCACCGGTGAATGCTTCCCTGTCACTGACGCTGTCAACAGGGGCCTGGTGGACAAGATCATGGTGGACCGCATCAACCTGGCCCAGAAGGCCTTCTGCGGCTTTGAGGACCCGCTCACCAAGACCAAGATGTTGGCCGCCCTGAAGAAGGGCAGGCTCTACTACGAGGCGGGGCAGCGCTTCCTGGAGGTGCAGTACCTGACGGGTGGCCTGATCGAGCCCGACATGCCGGGCCGCGTGCCCCTGGAAGATGCCCTGCAGTGTGGCACGGTGGACCCGGCGCTGCCCAGAAGCTGCGTGATGTCAGCACGTACTCCAAGTACCTCACCTGCCCCCAAACCAAGCTCAAGATCTCCTACAAGGATGCGCTGGACTCCAGCAGGGTGGAGGAGGGCACGGGGCTGCGGCTGCTGGAGGCCGCCGCCAAGTCCAGCAAGGGCTACTACAGTCCCTACAAGCGTCAGCGGTTCCGGCTCCACTGCAGGCTTGCACTCTGGCTAGCGCACTGGCTCCCGGGCTGGCTCCCTTCGCTGCAGCTTCGACGCCACGGGCTCAGGCTTCTCCATGACCTTCTCCTCCTCAGGCTATGAACGCCGCTGCGCCTGGGGGCCCACGTCCTCCCTGGGGGGCCCCGAGTCTGCGGCAGCCTGACCCCTCCTGCTCCCCGCCTCCCGCTCTGCGTGTGGCCTCCCGCCCAGGCGCTGGGGTCTCTCTCTAACGTTGAAAGGTGTCTTCCTCCCAAGCGGTGCCTAAAGTTTAACCAAAAAGACTAGACTAACGTATTAATATATACCTGCTGTCCAGAGAGCCTGTCTCCCGGGCTGTCTCCGGTCCCACTGACCACCCCATTCCCCGGGTCTCCCTGCTCCTCTTTACCTGCCACTCACCACAGCCAGGTGCCTTGGAGGGTCCAGAGGTGGGCCCCCCAACTCAGCCCTCCCATCTCCCCAGGGGGTTCCGTCTGGGTGAGCTTCCCCCAGCCCTGTAGACCAGCCCCACCTAACCCCCAGCCCGACCTGCCTGGGCAGCGGATGTAGGTCCCAGCAGCAGGGCCGTTGGGACCAGCGCCTCTATGTCTCCAGGACAGACCCTCTCGCTCTGCGTGGGCGGCAGTGAGTCCTGGTCACCCTCCTCTCCTCGGCTGCTCAGGAAGCCCCTTCCCCACGGGAGGGTGAGGTCTTCGAGCAGACCCAGCTGGCCCAGACCAGGCACCCCAGCCCCCAGGCCTCTGGCTTCAGCCTTCCAGCCTCAGCTCCCTAGAAAGTGCCTTCTGCGTCCCCCTTTGCACCCCAGGCCCCAAGGACCCAAACCTGGGGTGGGAGACAGATCCTCCTGGTGAAAGGCTCGCCACCGCTCAGCTCTCAGGAGTGCCAGCCAGGTACTGCGGGGCCCCGTAGGCTTCCGCCCACTGTGGGCCCAGCGCCCCCCGAGGCCTGTGGGGCACCCCTTCCCCGGGTGCTGCCTGCCTGCTTCTCCCAGGGAGCCTCAGCCCCCGAGTGGGCGCGGGACGCGGCCGGGGCAGTCCGTGCCAACCAGGCTGCCCGCCGGTGCCGCCCGCTCCTGCTCCATCGCCCAGGCCCTGGCAGCTCCACCCCTGCCTCCGTCCTCTGACTGAGCTTTGCATGTTCCACTAACCCAGGGAGGTGGCGGGTGGCGGGTGGAGGCATCCGGTTTCGGCTGCCTCCGAGGGCAGAACACTAACCTGATCACGGCGGGCCTGCCGCGCTCGCCCCAATAAAAGCAATTCCAACCCCCCCCCCCCAAAATCATTTAATTCATCAATCTTCCTAAGAGAAGGTAAAATGTATTGCCTTGTAAATAAATTACTTGAAATAAGTTTTCAAATATTAGAAAGATTTAGGGGCTGCTTGAAAAGCTCAACTGTGTCATTTTAGGGCAAACAAAAATGATTTTTCTATGTGAAGAATAAGTTCATGGAATGTATTCGTCAGAAAGCGCTCCCTGTTAAACTACAAAGAGATTAAGTTTACGAATAATTATAATTATTTTAAAAAACTAGAGTTTTTCTGAGTACATTTTTGACCTTTTGAGTTTAACTTCGTGGAAGGTAACCATGGCTTTTCAGAATACATCCCTGTCAGGAAAAGGATAATAGGTTGGTTTAACTAGGTAGGAAGTTTTCTTAGTGAAAGTCAGTTTAAATAGAAATAACATTATGTCTCTCCCAGTTACTAAAAACTTCCTTCCAGAATATCTATTCTTCTAGATGAAAAACAAATATTAGGAACAGTCAGATATGAATGAGATTCCTTTGCCCTAACTGTCCATGTGATTAGAAAAACAATAAAGTCAATTGCCCATTTTGGCTATTGGAAATCTCTGAAGAAGCAGATTCAGGGAAATTCATATTTGTGGAATTATAAAAAGAATTGAAGTTTTGAAGGCCAAGAGTCCTGTGGTGAGAACTGAAATCTGTGGAAATATTTAAATGCAAAAGGCTTTATGTTTAGAATTCGCCACAAATTCTTATCATTCATGCCGGCTGTTTTTCTTCTAAAAAGAAAACAGGAAACTTCTCAAAAAGTCACTGGCTCTAGGCTTAAAATCAAAACAACCTTTAAAGGTAACTATGGGGTTTAAAAAAAAAATCAAATGAAGACTATTTGTCACTGATTTCAAGGCTTGCTCTTTATCTGTTATTAATGAAGTGGAGAGTAATGACATTTCAGGAAATTGCGGATAGATTGTCTGCAAGATGTGGAAAAGGAAAATATGAAGCAGAATTCTTTCTGAGTTGTGTTCCTCACTTAACTAAGCCAGCTCCTATGGCACATGTCCTTGTAAGTTTACATTTGGGATTTTTACCAAGCAGACTTTCTTCTGTGAGCAGAATACTGAGTACTTACATACTTAGGATGGGCCTTCCCTTGTGGCTCGGCGGTAAGGAATCCGCCAACAGTGCAGGAGCCACCGGAGACTTGGGTTCGATCCCTGGGTCGGGAAGATCCTCTGGAGGAGGACATAACAACTCACTCCAGTATTCTTACCTGGAGAATCCCATGGACAGAGGAGCCTGGCTGGTTACAGTCAGTGGAGTCGCAAAGAGCTGAACACGACTGAAGTGACTTAGCACACATCTACTTTGGATACCTATGTATATAATTTTATCAAAGAAGACAGCATTTTCTTTGAACTTTTGTCCTTATGATTTATTCTTGTGATTTGGAATAGGGCTCCATTTCTAAAGAGTTTAAAATTTCCCTTGATATCTCTTGCATTCCCTATCTCTTCTATCAAAACACATCAATATTTTATATGTTGTATGTTGGTTACAGAAATTCAACCAGTAATTTGGGAATAACACAATTTCTTTTTCTCTATATTTGGGAACAAAGAGGGTTGATCTGTGTGAACACTGACAATTTGGGTCATTTCTGTGCTAGTATTAGAATATAAACTGAAACAGTCCATAGATTCAGGGCAAAATGCTAAGTGGAGAGACAAAAGCAAGTTCTGGTCACAGCGGTTTAACTCTGTCTCTTAGAAAGAAAGTATGACCTCAACTTGGCTGGCTTAACTTTGCCTCCATAAAATGGTCATTCTTTCCTTCCACTCCAGAGCCAAAGATATAGGGGAGAATAAACATATAAGCTTCTTTGGTTTTGCTCATTGTTCCTACTTTTGTGTTTAATAACATCATCTCTGAGTTCATGCTTGCATATATGATTTCTTGAAAATCATTTAGGTATTTGAGAAGTAGGATGGAATAAGGACATTTTTATCTCCATTGATTTGAATAGTCAAACTAGATAGCTTTTTTTTTTTTTTTACCAGAATTATCTTGGCATAATTTAAAGAGAGCCAAAAGGAAGAGTGTCATACATGACTTCAATTTGTTTTTTCATAAACATAACAAAATATTGAGGTATTCCTAGGCAGAAAGAAGCATGCAGAATATAGCTAAACATAGAAAATTGCAATCTGAGAATAATTAGGATATTTCTTCTCAAGTTTGGATGTTTCACTTATTTTCTTTTTATGTTTCTTTCTGTAGTCTTTGGAGTGATATTTGTAAAACTTTCCCTTGACCTCCCTTCACATGTTGGAAAATCAGCAATCAGCCATGTGTAAGTTTTGGAAGCCAAAAAGTTCATGTATGTGCTTCTCCTGACGTCTGGCAGTTAGAATAGAGGCCACTGGCTCAGGAATTCAGAGGTTGCTATTTAGACTTTGAGAGACAGATGAAGTGGTGGAGCTGGTCTGCCTGGGTTTGAGGATCTTAGGCAAGGTGCCCAGTCTCAGTAGCTTCACCTGGCAGTCAGTCAATTCAGTCACTCAGTCGTGGCAGACTCTTTGTGACCCCGTGGACTGTAGCAGACCAAGTTTCCCTGTCCATCACCAACTCCAGGAGCTTGCTCAGACTCATGTCCATTAAGTCGGTGATGCCATCCAACCATCTCATCCTCTGATATCTCCTCCTCCTGCCTTCAATCTTTCCCAGCATCAGGGTCTTTTCGAATGAGTAAGCTCTCTGCATCAGGTGGCCAAAGTACTGGAGCTTCAGCTTCAACATCAGTCCTTCCAATGAATATTCAGGACTGATTTCCTTGGATTGACTGGTTGGATCTCCTTGTAGTCTAAGGGACTCTCAAGAGTTTTCTCCAACACCACAGTTCAAAAGCATCAGTTCTTCGGCACTCAGCTTTCTTTATGGTCCAACTCCCACATCCATACGTGACTACTGGAAAAACCATAGCTTTGACTAGACAGACATTTTGTTGGTAAAGTAATGTCTCTGCTTTTTAAAGTATGCTGTCTTATCGCTTCTCGGCCTTTTGGCTAAGATCAAGTGTAGTATCTGTTCTTATCAGTTTAAAGTATGCTGTCTTGTTGGTCATAGCTTTTCTTCCAAGAAGCAAGCATCTTTTAATTTCATGGCTATAGTCACCATCTGCAGTAATTTTGGAGTCCAAGAAAGTAGTTTCTCACTGTTTCTATTGCCATGATGTGATGGGCCCGGATGCCGTGATCTTAGTTTTCACCTGTAAAATGGGACAATTATTTTCTTCCGGGTGTTATCAGGACAATTAAGTGAGATAGTGTTAACTTGCTTAGAACAGACTTCACAGAGTGTAAACTCACAGTAGATGTGAACTCTTACTGTTCAGGGGCCAACAAGGCAATCAAATAAAGACAGCTTAGAATTTATAATTCATCTGACAGTGGTTGTGTCTTGTACTTGGAGTCTGGTGGTGGCTTAGCAACCAAGCAGTTCTTTTCACTTGACCCCAGTTGTGGATTCCTTTGGTTTTGTCCTGTTTTCCAAATGTAGTCCTCCAAACCTCCAGTCAGCTTTGTGAGCCACTCAATAACCTTCTGGAAAATCCTTCTGCCTTAAGTTTGTTAGAACCCATACCTAGATGGATATTGTTTGTGACGATCAGATGAGTGTCTGAGTACTGTGTCAAACCGTTTTACTTTGGTTTCATTTATATGAGCCTTTTCCTGATGAAGAGGGAGTTAACTTTGAAACTGTGAAGGACCTACTTAGCTTTTTGTTTGCATCAGCCCCGGAGTCCTGCAAGGTACTGGTCCAAGGCACCAGGCGCCACCTTCTCCTGGCCCGTGATCTGGTGCCTAGGAGGCCAAGAGAATACTGAAAGGCACGTTGGATGAAAGAATGAATGAACTCAACAGATGTTGTCGACTCAGGGCTCCGATGTGGTTAAGCTGTGCTATCAACCCTTCAACAGACTTCTGGTTAAATGAAACAGAAATTCTTATATTGTTTGTCATTTTTGATCAAGTATTCTGTGATTATAGCCAAATAGATCCTGACATTAAGATTATATGTGCTTTTTATCCCCCCAGACTCTTTTTTTCTTGCTGTCTACCTACTGCCAAAGAAGCACTTCTTGCCATTTTTTTGGAGAAGTAATTTACAAGTGTGCTCCACAAAGTTCTGGAAAGTATTTGGAAACAAATACTGCTTTGGACAGATTTTGTATGGTTCATTGAAACAGGCACTGTTTCACTCTCATTCAGGAGACTCTTCAAACATATGACTGAGGCAAATGCTTTTATTTCAGAATGGAGATTTTTGGAAAGTTTTTGCGTGAAATTTGGCATATTTTGCATTAATTTGTCATTAACGGATAATAAACTTATTTGGATAATACACGTTCCAAAAATTTAAAAAAAGAATGAAAACAATTCTATTTAATTCTGAACTGCTACTGTGACCTGTTTTTATAGAAGTATTTTATAAAAAAAAGGTTGAGTCAACACAGAACAAGAAATCTGAGTGTACACAACAAATCCTTGGAAAGAACTCTAACAGAGCTTTCATCTGACCACCAACCTGAAACACTGATCGCAAGCCAGAAAAATCTCTCCACGTCGTCTCTCTTCAAAGGGTGTTAAAGTGCAGTGCAGTCAGGATGAAAAAACAAAGCAGATTTTAATAACATCCAGTCTTAGATGCCATCAGCAAGATGACATTTCCTGGAAAGAACTATGTGATTACAGTATTATTATTTGTAATGATGCTTGATATGATCAACAAAGGAAAAGTAAATGATCCAAATGGGACTTCTGGCAGAGAACTGCATTCTCATTAAAAGAGGTATTAGTGGGCCTAACACATTTGAGTAAACATGGAATATGAACTTGATGTTAGAAAAGAGGAGATGTTTGTGGAGACCAA